GGCTTCCTTTTTCTTTTTGTTTTCATTCTATTGTTTTTCTCTTGTGTGGTGTTCCTATGTTTGTGGGCCTGCTCTGTTCTGCTGCACCTGGTGGTGTGCTCCTCAGCCGAGCCAATAGGCGTGGTGCTTTGTGGTTTCCCTCACCGTGCAGCAGTGCAGGCACACAGTCCACTGCAGACCAATTGTTTTATATACTCTTCCCATCTTTCTTGTCTCCGTCTTTACATTGGACTTATTTTGATCCTTATATACTGCTTTGTTTTTCCTTTTTTGTTTCTGATACACCTTGTGTATCTTGTGTGCTCATTTTTATGGAATGTTTTTTTTGTTATATACAAAATACCAAAAAAAAAATAAATATGGTTATTACACATTCACTATACAAAAGTTTTCCGCTTGGTATTATACGGTAAATATTGCTGTGTCCAGGCATCGCAGCCGCAGTAAGTAATGAATTTCTTTTTCTATCTTGTGCTTCACCTCTTATTTTCCCTTTATCAGCCATTTTTTTTTTTACATTTTTATTTTCGTATAAAGATTGGTGGGTTGTAGGTGTTTGAGTGTATCCCACTGTTGTGTGTTCCTATGTGTGTTTGGGTTGCTACTTGCACCGCCCACGTAATGAAAACACATTTCTTTGTTCTCACCTTCTCTCTCGGTGTTGTCACTCACACGGCATTGCCACGAACATATTTGTGCCCTTGTGGTGTGTGTTGTTTGTTGTGTGGCTTGTTTGAGTGGCTGCAGCCTGTGGGGAGGGACTGAGACTGGTCCGCTTCGGCTTCACGTAATGGGTCTGTTTTTTTTCTTTTTGGGTGTGTTGATGTGCTGGTGTGGGTGAATGTTTTTCTCTGATGGGAGTGGAAGCTGTGATTATTGTACTGTGTGTGCTTTGTGTGCTGTTTGTATCCTGTTGTTGTTGCTGTTCTTTTCTTTTGTGTTTTTTCTTTTCCTCTTTGTGGGTGTGTGACTTAGTGTACATTTTAGGGAATGCCGCAGTGCCTCTCTGACATGAGCATGTGAGACTGTCATTGTGTGTGTGCACTGTGAGTGGGAAGGACACCGTTGTGTTGCTGGACCACTCCACTG